CCTCTGAGATCCTCGAAACCTGAGTGCTTATCCTCCTCATCCCTCCGTCAATGGCATCTCCCCCTATATCTCTATGAAAGACATCGCGACCAGGGCAAGGAGCATCTTCTGGCCAAAGATGTCGCACATGCGCTCTCACTTTGCGGAAAACTTCATCATCACTGCACAACATGCCACACTTGTCCCACGAAATCGGGAGCCTGCGGTCCTCTGTGCCTCTTAACAGCATCGTTAAACCAGTAATCGCCTGCTCTGCCACTTGAATGGGCCCTCCTATCACGTGTAGGCTGATATCGTCAATCAAGCTCTTGATTCTGATAAGGTGACACTTAACCCCTATGCTCCTGAGCGTGGTGATCGTCATCAACTTAGCCAACCCTGTTGCGCAAGAGCAACCTGCTATGATGGACCCGTTCGCGTTAATGACCTCCGAAACCGATTGTTGGTACACGGCCCTCCTTGGGCCTTTGTAAGGGCACACAACGGCCTCAGAAGTGCCAGGGGAAAATCAGTATCCCTGGCAGCACACAAGAGTTCCTGGTGGCTGACCATTTCATAAAACTCGCGGAGGTCTACAAACGCGCTAAAACTGACAAAGCCTAACTGGGGAGCCACAGCCGCAAGGGTGTTGTGAATCCAGGCGGACTTGTCACATGAGGTCTCACTAGAGGCCCCCCAGAAAAACCTATCGGGCAACTTGGATTCCCACTTGGAGACCTGCTTGTGTCTCAATCTAGACCATATTCTAGCAAACGCAAGGGCTGGGAGGGGGGAGCTTCTTAGAAGGAGGCTGCTACTTAGAAGGCGCCGGCCTTACATCTATAGAGAAGGCCCGCGCCTTCTAAGAAGCAGGGGTGTTTCTAAGAAGCCCTCCCCCCATCTATAGAGAAGGCCCGCGCCTTCTAAGAAGCAGGGGTGCTTCTAAGAAACCCTCCCCCCTCCCCACCCCCCTCTGCGCGTGGCTGGCAGAAGTCTGGAACCCTTCCCAAGGACAGGCTTTTTTCATCCCGAGTCGATTGCTCACGGCCTCGAAGGCCAGCGAGGGCCCCCAGAGGCCGAAGACAGCGGACAACCTCCCGCCACGATTCCTTCCTGACCCGAAGGGGGTCTGACCCGAAGGGGGTCGTTTTCTTTTTGTCGACGGCCCCGAGGCGCAGCGAGGGCCCCGGCAGGCCGAAGTCACAAACAAAAAAAAAAACGTCAGCTCCAACTTTTCGGGAGCGCCGGATCTCAGGGAACAGTTTGCCGACGTCGCGGTTTGCTCACATCGTCCACCCCCAGAGGTCTGGAACCCTTCCCGCTTGTCGTCGCTCGGACGTCCCTTTCCCGTGCATTTTACCTAACAGCGAAGACTGATAGGTTTCTGGTGGTGTCAAAAGAGAGCAGCAGATGACTCCACAGGGGGGTCTGGGCGGCATCCGGGGAGCTGTGTCCGAACTCGTGTCCGAACTCGTTTTTCGTAAACAGTCAGACACTTCGTGCTCTTCGACCTCCCGGAACTCCATTCCCGGGCCACATTCTGAATGCCCGGAGCCAACTGTAGGCCACTACGTGCTCTTCGACTTCCCAGAACTCCATTCCCGGGCCACATTTTGAATGCCCTGAACCAACTGTAGGCCACTTCGTGCTCTTCGACTTCCCAGAACTCCATTCCCGGGCCACATTTTGAATGCCCGGAGCCAACTGTAGGCCACTTCGTGCTCTTCGAGTTCCCAGAACTCCATTCCCGGGCCACATTTTGAATGCCCGGAGCCAACTGTAGGCCACTTCGTGCTCTTCGAGTTCCCAGAACTCCATTCCTGGGCATGATTTTGAATGCCCGGAGCCAACTGTAGGCCACTTCGTGTTCTTCGAGTTCCCAGAATTCCATTCCCGGGCCACATTTTGAATGCTGAGGCAGGCTGAGGCTGAGGCTGAGGCAGGCTGAGGCTGAGGCAGGCTGAGGCTGAGGCCGAGGCTGAAGGCAGACTGAGGCTGAGGCTGAAGCAGGAGGCTGAGGCTGAGGCAGGCTGAGGCTGAGGCTGAGGCAGGCTGATGCTGAGGCAGGCTGAGGCTGAGGCTGAGGCTGATGCAGGCTGAGGCTGAGGCAGGCTGAGGCTGAGGCCGAGGCTGAAGGCAGACTGAGGCTGAGGCTGAAGCAGGCTGAGGCTGAGGCTGAGGCAGGCTGAGGCAGGCTGAGGCTGAGGCTGAGGCAGGCTGAGGCTGAGGCTGAGGCTGAGGCTGAGGCTGATGCAGGCTGAGGCTGAGGCAGGCTGAGGGAGGCCGAGGCTGAAGGCAGACTGAGGCTGAGGCTGAAGCAGGCTGAGGCTGAGGCTGAGGCTGGCTGAGGCTGAGGCTGAGGCAGGCTGAGCTGAGACTGAGCTGAGGCTGAGGCTGAGCAGGCTGAGGCTGAGGCAGGCTGAGGCTGAGGCCGAGGCCGAGGCAGACTGAGGCTGAGGCTGAAGCAGGCTGAGGCTGAGGCTGAGGAGCAGGCAGGCTGAGGCTGAGGCTGAGGCTGCTGCAGGCTGAGGCTGAGGCAGGCTGAGGCTGAGGCAGGCTGAAGGCAGACTGAGGCTGAGGCTGGCAGGCTGAGGCTGAGGCTGAGGCAGGCTGAGGCTGAGGCTGAAGGCTGAGGAGGCAGGCTGAGGCTGAGGCTGAGGCAGGCTGAGGCTGAGGCAGGCTGAGGCTGAGGCCGAGGCTGAAGGCAGACTGAGGCTGAGGCTGAAGCAGGCTGAGGCTGAGGCTGAGGCAGGCTGAGGCTGAGGCTGAGGCTGAGGCTGCTGAGGCTGAGGCTGAGGCTGAGGCTGAGGCTGAGGCTGAGGCTGAGGCTGAGGCAGGCTGAGGCTGAGGCTGAGGCTGAGGCTGAGGCAGGCTGAGGCTGAGGCTGAGGCTGAGGCTGAGGCTGAGCAGGCTGAGGCTGAGGCTGAGGCAGGCTGAAGGAGGCTGAGGCCGAGGCTGAGGCTGAGGCTGATGAGGCTGAGGCTGAGCAGGCTGAGGCTGAGGCTGAGGCTGAGGCTGAGGCTGAGGCTGAGGCTGAGGCTGAGGCTGAGCTGAGGCTGAGGCTGAGGCGAGGCTGAAGGCTGAGGCTGAGGCTGTGAGGCTGAGGCTGAGGCTGAGGCAGGCTGAGGCAGGCTGAGGCTGAGGCCGAGGCTGAGGCAGGAGGCTGGCTGAAGCAGGCTGAGGCTGAGGCTGAGGCAGGCTGAGGCAGGCTGATGCTGAGGCAGGCTGATGCAGGCTGAGGCTGAGGCAGGCTGAGGCTGAGGCCGAGGCTGAAGGCAGACTGAGGCTGAGGCTGAAGCAGGCTGAGGCTGAGGCAGAGGCAGGCTGAGGCTGAGGCTGAGGCAGGCTGAGGCTGAGGCTGTGACTGCGACTGCCGTTGCCACTGCGACTGTCATCGCGAATGCGACTACGACTGCGAGAACAGCAGAATTCTGAAACTGGATTCTCATCCGAACCTTAAGGGGAATGCTTCCAAATATGCTCCTACACATCGCTGTCAGGTTGCTTTGCCGGGATATTTTTTTTGTTGTTGACTTCGTGCGTGTTTTTGTTTGTTGCTCGATGGTCCAGGATGGTCCTCGATGGTTCTCGCCGCGGAAACACGTGCACACGTCCGAGCGATGCCAAGCCCAGGGACGGGCCTCTCATCCCGAGTCGACGTCTCGCGGCCCCGAGGGGCCAGCGAGGGCCCCCCCGAGGCCGAGGGCAGCGGACAGCCTCCCGCCACGATCCCTTCCTGAGCCCCAGGGGGTCTGGAGAGGCCCACACCTTGAGATCCAACGTACTGCAAAAAAACTCGGGAGCGGCAAAGAGGGGGGTGTCCAAGAGGGGGGGGTGCAAATCATGACCGGCGGCATGTGCGCGGCCCAGCGGGGGGGCCAGGGACGCAATGAAATAAGAAGAGGCGCCATGAAATCTGAGGAAAAATCATGGCCCGCGCCATGGAATCCTTTCCCCGGGACCGGCTTTTCGTTCTGAGTCGTTTTTTGACGGTCCCGAGGGCCGGTAAGGGCCCCCAAAGGCCAAAAATATGAAAAACCTCCCGTCGTGAATTTTTCATAACTCGAGGGGGTCTGGGTTGAGATCCAACGTACTGAAAAAAACAGGACGGAGGTGCTTCTCGCAGCTCTCTCGGCCTCCGCAGAGAGGACCCCGCCTCGGGCCCTATGGGACCGCCCACCGACACGACTCTCGTCGGCGGAGAAGCCGGTGCGGAGGGAATTTGGGCCGGGACTTCCCGGGGGCCCTGCATGGAAAAAATCGCGGCGTCGGCTCTCTGGGTGCAAGAAGTTTCAATTGAGACATCGTGAGAAGCCAGATCGGAGCCCTAAAGAGGAGGAGGAGGAGGAGGAGGAGGAGGAGGAGGAGGAGGAGGAGCCCTGAGATCCGACGGCGCGAATATAATTGAGACCTCGTGAAAAGCCACCTCCGGGGCCCCATCGTGCTGCGTTCTTTCTCGAGCTGGATCGATCTGTGAGAGAGCCCCGGGGCCCGAACCCCGACGAGGGAGCGCGCGGCTCGAACAACACGAGACGCCGGGATCTCAGGCTGCACGCCACCTGGGAGGCTCGCCCAGAGATCCGGCTGCTCAATTTGTCTCGATGCGTGGGCCCTGGAGGTCTGGACCCCTTCCCAGAGGCCGGTTTTTCGTCCCGCATCGTTTTTCAAACGTCCAGAGGCCTGGCGAGGGCCCCCAGAGGCCGGTATCAACCCCAAACCGCCAGCTCCTGTTTTTCTGGGTGCTCCATCGTCCTGCGTCGTTCGTTATAGTCCAGATCGATATGTGAGGACCCCTGGGTCCTGGCTCGAAAACCTCGAAACGCCAGGATCCCAGGGGATGTCTGGGTACGCGCTGCCCTGGCCAAGCCAGGGCGTATACACCACGCGTCTGGGTAAAATACTGGTGGACGACGACGACGACGACGACGACGACGACGACGACGACGACGACGACGACGAGCGTCGGATCTCTGGAGGTTATTTCATTTCCCCTTCTGCAGCACCAGGACCGGCTTTTCATC